CAATATTTATTGGCTTCTATTTTAATAAAATAATTAATTAATAAAATTTTTATTAAGTTCCAATTTAGATTAGGCGAGTTTACTTGCGGCAAGTCTTTGTTTGATGGAGAGAGGGGCAAGGGGAATAGAAATGGAAAAAAATTGCTCGTATCGGCAATTTTCTTGCAATTCATTTTGTGTATTTTGTTTGTAGTGTCAGTAATTTGAAATACCAAATACCGTAATGCTAATGTATCTGAACAATGCACAAGAATTATACTGGGTATACCATCAGGGCCTGGACAACGTAGATTTTTAGATACCTTTCGACTTTGTAAAGGGCCCCATACACTATAAATCATCCCGTCATGCCGATGAACCCCTTTTTGTATATGTGAGATTGACTACACCTTTTTCACATGTTATTCAAAACATATCAAATGTAATTCGAAAATTCCATTTGTTATTCATAACATACAATTTGCAATTCGAGAATTCCATTTGCAATTCATAACATATCAGTTGTAATTCGAGAATTTCATTGGTAATTCATAGAACACCTTTCGAAATTCGCAGAATTCCATTTGAAATTCGTAAAATTCCATTGGAAATTCATAAAACTCCATTTGAAATTACTAAAATTCCATTTGAAATTTATAAAATTCCATTCAACTTTCAAATAAATTCAATTGAAATTCGTAATATTTGATTTGAAATTAATAAAATTTCATTTTAAATTGGAAAAATGTTATGGGAAACACCCAAAATATGTGTAACACATTAAGGTGGGTAATAATGTATGTACATATTAATGGAATATACTTTATAATTTTATATACTTTATACTTTTTTGCATCATGAACTTTAATGTATGTATTTAAATTTAATTTATATATTTTTATTCATTCTTTTAAAAGCCGCATATATATCTTTTATGAATTTCTCATGTATATATATATATATATATGTACATATGTGTTTTTTTTAATACTATTATTCACTACATAAAAAATTCCACCCCACTTATTGTTCAATTTATTTATTTTATTCGAATTTGAAATAAAATGTTAAGAATTTGAAATGAATTTTTACGAATTACAACTGAAATATTATGATTTGCAAGTAAAATTTTATGAATTTCAAATTGAATTCATTGGATTTCAAATAAAAATATACAAATTACAAATGAAATTCTTAAAAATTCAGATGGATTTTTTTTTAATTACATATGAAAAGTTTAAAATTACAAATGAATTGTTGTGAATTGCCGATAAAATACTCGAATTACAACTGAAATGTTATGAATTGCAAATTGAATTTTCGAATTACAAATGAAATTCTCGAATTGCGATTGAAATGTTTGGAATAACATTTGAAAAAGGTGTAGTGTATGGCAAACTCTTCAATCACTATTCCAAAAAATCGATTTTTGTCCCAAAAAATAAATTTTGAGTCGTAAATTAAGTTGTTTTTTTTATTCCGTCACAATTTTATTATTTTTGTACACAAAATTATTTACTGACAACTTTCAAAATGAATATTATTCACCAGATTGATAGGGTTTCATTTTTAAAATCAAAACTATTTTGATTTTCTTCATGCATTGTGTGTGTGTCAAACATACATGAATAAACTTTCAAAAAATAACACATACTATGATAAATGCTGTACGGCATGATGTATTGTGTATGGGGCCTCTTCGAAAGTTCATAAGTATATGGATCTTTAATCTGATAAGTAGTATTGAATAAGTCCAGTACTTTTCGGTTATAATCCATTACGCTTAAAGGCCAAAAAGGGATGTAAGCGAAAACAGTATTATTTACTGACAATTTTTTCCAAATTCATACAAATGATTTGTTCTTTAGTCCACTTCCCCTATAGTCCATTTTCGTCTAAAGGCCACATTTTCTGTGCATGCAAAACTAACATTGCATAGAAAAACATTTTATATAGTCCACCCCGTTTTTTTATATATTTTAAACTGGCATATGGCATTTATATTTCTTGCAATTTTTTCCAAATTCATACAAATGATTTGTTCTTTAGTCCACTTCCCCTATAGTTCATTTTCGTTTAAAGGCCACATTTTCTGTGCATGCAAAACTAACATTGCATAGAAAAACATTTTATATAGTCCACCCCGTTTTTTTTTATATATATATTTTAAACTGGCATATGACATTTCTATTTCTTGCATATTTGCAAATGTCAAAAATTGCTAAATTCATAGAAGTTGCGAAAATTGTAGTATGGAGAAAAAATTCAAATTATTTAAAGACTATTAAGAAAATGGATTGAAATGTGGACAATTGAGCGCCAAATACAAAGTAGACAAATCAACAGTTTATAAAATAATAAAAAATTAGTTCTAAAATTAAAAAAAGCTTCAAATTCGTGTAATCTAAAAATATATGGTTTAATGAAACGCGTGGCTAAAATGCGGTGGTAGCTGGCCGTTTTCCTCAGAATATCGGCATTGGAATGTTAAATGTTGCAGATATTTTGGACAAATCTGTTGAAGAATGTCATAATAATATTCAAGATGAGGTTGAGTTTTTCATTGTAAACAACGCAAAGTTATTTTAAAAGAAGTTGTAGATTAGTTTGAAATAATGGAACAAATTCCATAAAAAAGCGTATTATAATTACAGAATTATTACAAAATTTTTGAACAACTAACATTTGATTTAATCCTTCAAAAGCATAAAACGAATCTTATACTTTATTTTTTCCATTATAATAAGCCATGGTATAATAATAAAAGGTAACAGCAAGTGTTGTTGTACAACAAACGATACAACAACCACATGGAAATTTGTTGTTGTAAGTTCTACTAGTGTCAACTCTTTTGACAGAAAAATGTAAACAAACAAATTATCATCAAATTATTTTTATTTTGAAAATGAAATATTTTTGAATCCACAAAATAAAAATTGAAAAACATGAATGAAAATACATATATCAAATTTATATTTCTATCGCTTCCACATCTTTACTATAATTGAGCCATTGCCATATATAGGTGTAACACGTATGCAAATGCTGGGAATAGCGAGTTGTTCTTTGAAGAAAGATTTGCTTCCTCAAACGATCCCAGCAGGCAGATTGAGTAAATTGAATACGGGAGGACATTTAATAAAGAACAATTTCGAATTGAATAAGTTTCCAATTTTCCTGTTGGGTGCTTTTTAAAAACATAATTTGTCAAATGCATATTGACACTAGTATTACGTTGGAATCAAATCAGCTGGGATTTGCTGTTACCTTTTATAATTGTACCATGACAATAAGCTTTCAAAGCATTTGAATTAAATAAAATAATATGTTTTTAATAAACTTTAATTTTATTTAAAAAAGTGCATACGTTGTGTATAGTACATGACATGTATTATATCAGGATTCAGTTATAGTTCATTAAAGGGCCTTAAACGAAATTTCGAAGTTTTTCGATAATTCTTGGTTATTGTAAGCTTTTTAAACAACTTATACAACCATTGAGATTCTATAGTATATTTCTAGATCTAGCAACATAATAGTCTATAGAAGAACCAGATTTTTTATATTTTCTAAAAAGTTTATTTTTTGAGTTTTTTATACTTGATAATTCGCGTGTCTATGTCTATGAGAGTTTCTAGTTGTAAAAGTAGGAACACATTCAGAAATAAATTTGTTTAGAGTAACATAAAAATGATATATTGTAAACTCGAAATCAATATGACTCTTACAAAGCCATGTAGAGGTGCAATTAACAAATAAGTGCGATTAAGATAAGTGCGTTGAGTTTGCTAAAGTTTTTTTGTAGTTAAAAGTAGTTTTTAATGAGCTTGACGAATTGTTAGAAATTAAATAACCATGTACCATGGTTATAAATAAAGTAGGGTGATAATTATCTTCAGGAATACAAATAGGAGGTACTCTAATTAATTCAAAATTTAAACAACACATTTTTCTATTCGGTAGTTTTATGTGTATATTTGTTCTTGCGTTTAATTAAGTTTAATGTTTTCATTTTATCACGTTGTCTCTAACTTAATTTAATGATGTTGAATTGCGCTGGAATATTTTTTTATTGCAGTATTTTTTACATTATTATATTTTTAAGTTTTTATTGGAATTTTGGGTAGTTTATCGTTTATTACATCAAGCGATTCATAGGTTTTTGAATTACAAGTTAAATAATTTGAATAATTGAAATTTAAGCCAATGGGTTTTCCAAATTTCCGGACCTACACCTCGGGAATATTGGACTTTCCCTACACAATATGTCATAATCGTAAATAGATTTCCCAACGCAGTATGTGTATTTTAATGAAACTCTTAGCAATTTTATTAATGAACAATAAGAAAATACTAAATCACTGTTAATAAGTTTAAACATATTTTCTGCAAGATTGTACTAATTTTTAATAAATATTTGTACATTCTTTCAGATTCTAGAACAGACCATTACTGCTTTTTGGTAAAAAGTTACTTTTATGTGAACATCCCAATAGATGTTCGATTTGAATAAAACATGATTTTGATCCAAGCATGTTTTTGGAGTGGGGTCGTGGAATTACTTCTCCTCCTTATAACGGTTACCAAAATCATAAAAGATAGTTCTGCCCCAAAAATGATTTAGTTCTGATGAAGTGAAGACCATAGTACCGTAAAACAAAAAGTATAAAAATATCTAACGACATATTTTCATAATCTAAATGCACAATTTGTTTAGATATATTTTATTATATATATTCTAGTCTAGATTATAGATTATTTCATGTAAGCACTTTTGAATATTAACAATATTCACATGACAGAACACCCTATTTCATCACCTCATTTTCTGTTATGCGTAAAACAAAATTGTAAAACGAGGAAAAGTGTAATATTTTTGTTCATGTATGAGAGGAAGATTAAAAAACAAAGAATCTTCAAGAGTAAATTAAATATCTCTTTAATAATTATTATTTATAGACTAAGAAAAATTAAGATTTTAAATACAAACAATATTATTCAATTCCTCCCATATACACACGTTATGGAATATTACCAAGTCGTTTATAATCAATTTTCTCAAGGTGTACTAAGGGTTTCAATTGTTCAGCAAAGATACGCATTTCATCTCCAATCGCATCCTGCCCATTTGGTGCTAATACAGATAGCTCCACCAAATAACTATTACACACTGGCTCGCTATCATGCTGTTTTCCGGGCGTTATTTTAAAAATCTTTGCAACCGTAATTTTCATACGGCCTTTGCGAAATAAAAACCCTTGACTAACATATTCAAAGTCTACTCTACAACCCAATTCATTGAGGAATTCAAGAACGGTTGATGTGCACCCAACATCAATGCTGGATCGTACCAATGTTGGCCGAGAACGATCTAGTTCTGGCTGTCCAATATATCGAAGCTGAAATGGCACATCCCTGTCCAGTGCTCTGCGTACCCGTACTTGCAGGGGAACTTGATTTGGCTGCCTCATACTCATACATACTTCCAAATCGTGAAATGTCTCCGGAACATTTTCAACGTTATCGCACAGACCACGAAGCCTACAACAAAATAAAAAGAACAATAATATTAATAATACTTGAACATATTTGCTGCTCCATAATACCGGTGAATTAAATGATCAACAGCCGATGCAATGATAGATCCTTGTAACAGGTATTCTTGGTTGGGAATTATTTTGTTGTGTAGAGCCTGAGAAAGGGACTCTTTCGAGGATGCAACCTGAGCCATGTTCATATTAGAGTTGGGTAGTAACTAGTTCATTGGAACTATTCCGAGAAAGGAACGAACGGAACTAGTTCCAGTTCTTTAATTAATATAATTCCTTTCTCTGATCCAGTTCCTTTTTTGAACTATTTGAAGCAAAGGAAGTGTATGGAGAAAAGGAACTATATATGGAAAAACGAAAAAAAAAATAATAAAAGAGAGAGAGATTCAAAAGAACAGTGTGAAGCCTTTCGCTTGTTAATCGTCGTTCTGCCAAGACTCAAGCGACGTCGTACGCAAACCTTCGCCAACAAATGGTCTGTTCCAGTACTTTTTATACCCTCCACCATAGTATGGAGGGTATATTAATTTTGTCATTCCGTTTGTAACTCATCGAAATATTCATTTCCGACCCTATAAAGTATATATATTCTTGATCAGGGTAAAATTCTAAGACGATCTAGCCATGTCCGTCCGTCTGTTGTAATCACGCTATCTTCTGAAGGAATTGAGATAGGGTGCTGAAATTTTGCATAGGGTTGTCTTTTGTCTGCAGGCAGGTCAAGTTCGAAGATGGGATATATCGGTCCACGTTTAGGCATAGCTCCCATATAAGGGTATCCCCCAATTTTCGGTATTTTGGGGTTCTTGAGCGCGTTTTTCAAGCGAATTTGTAGTAAATGTATCCACAAAAAATTATAAATATAGGTCCACTTTTTCTTGTAGCCCCCATATAACGGTACCTCCTAATTTTCAGTATTTTTTGGGTTTTTATCGTATTTTTCACCGAATTGGCTGTAATTTAGTATTTTGAGTTCTTAGCAGGTACCAAATCTCTCCACAAAAAATTTAAATATAGGTCAATTTTTTCGGATATCCCCCATATAAGGGTACCCCCCATTTTCGGTATTTTGGGGTTCTTGAGCGCGCTTTTCAACCGAATTCGCTGCAATTTTGTACATTGGGTTCATATTGCGTACCAAATATCTCTACTAAAAATTATAAATATCGGCCCACTTTTTCTGGTAGCCCCCATATAAGGGCACCCCAAATTTTCGGTATTTTGAGGTTCTTAAGCGCGATTTTCAACCGAATTCGCTGAAATTTGGTACAGTGGGTTCATATTGGGTACCAAATATCTCTATTTAAAATTATAAATATCGGTCCACTTTTTCATTTCAAATACCTGTCAGTATACCTGTGGTGGAGGGTATCCAAAGTTCGGCCCGGCCGAACTTAACGCTTTTTCACTTGTTTAATAGTAAAGCTAGTAAAAGGGAAACATTTCAAGTCTCAGAGTACAAAATAATTTGAAAAGTTCGGGAACGCAAATCTAGTAAATATGCCAAAATTAGATGGCAATACTTCAAAATCAACATAACAAAAAGTTTACAAAGAGAAAGCCATTTTGTTTTGTGCTCTCTTAAATTTGATTCAATGTTTTGCCAGTTTTATGGGTTCAGGGACGGTTTTCGAGTAGAGTCTTTTAAAGATGAACTCAAAATGGTATAACCGAAAGTTTACGAATGAGGTGGGATAGAGACTAAATGGAAACCGTGTTGTTTACGAATGAGGTTTAGGGCAAATTATGATTAGGGATAAGTAAATCGACTTTCGATTAATCGACTTTTTGTATTGAAAAGTCTAATGCCATGTACAGACGAGCGTTGTTCCCTCTGTCATTCGTGGTTCGACTCTTAATTATGAAGTAATTACATAGTTCAAAGGAACTACATTAAGGAACTAGTTCCTTTTTAAAAAAGAAACGAGAATGATCGATCCGCTACGTGAACTAGATATATAGTTCATATCGAACTATATCGCTGGTTGGTTTTTGCGTCTTTTTAGGGTTTAGCAGGTCGTAAAGAGGAACTCTGGCAAGGGTTCTACAGATGGGGAAAAATGTCCAGAGCTCTAAAAATCGAATAAGAAAACAATAAATAAATGTCAAAAATGTTGTTGTAATATTTGAACCAAAAAAAATCTCAGAATTTCGAAGTTCTTTTTTTGGCAATACTTTTATTAACATTTTCTACAAGAATTTGTGTAAAAAAAGCTTGTCAATCTGTTTGTTTGGCAAAATATTTTTGACATATCAAAATACAGCAACCGATGTTTGTTGTAGAAATTCGCCGATGCGGCTACCTTGTATATCTATCTTGACTTTGACAGTTGACTTTGACAATACACCATAGCCCCGCGTTTAATGCCATGTACAGACAAGCGTTGTTCGCTCTCTCATTCGTTGTTCGACCCTTAATTATGAAGTAATTACTTAGTTTCCCATACAAAATTTTCTGAGCGAACACAGACTTTTGTACATTGTTCAATTCGAATCACTCTCTGAATAACCAAGAAAATTGTCCCATCCCTAACAATTGACAGGATTTATCGAAAATAAATTAATTTTGACAGCATGAAAATATTTATAAAAATTTCAAACTTTTTCAGGAAAATGGAAAATGATGAATGAAAAGTAAAAAAAATTGTCTAGTTTTTATTTATGCAGCAGGATGTAAATTTTGTTATCTACATAATGCAATCTGAATTTCTTTCCCCTTGGTTCTAACTAGCGTACAAAACAAGAAACAAATGCGGGGCAACTCAAACAAAAAATTCTCCAAATTTTTATATGTGACAATATGTGACATATGAATTGAGAAAATATAAAAATATATTTAAAACAACAATATTTTCAGAAAAAATGGAAAAAATGAATTAAAAGTAAATAGGTATGGGTTCATACTATAGTCACTTAGTCTACTTAGATCCATATGTGATTCACGCATATATTTTACAATATTGGTGTAAAACACGAAACAAAAAGTTTGAAATAAAAAACTCAGATGACATGAATTAAGAATAGTGTTGTATGAACGGGTTAATTCATGTACGTAATTTTGAGAGCGAACTACGTTGTTCGTATGCCCGTCAGAACATGGCATAAGGTGTTTTTACGAAATATGTTTTTTAGATATGTGCTGTCACTTTTATCATCCATTGTAATTCCTTGTGGCATTGTTACGCGAGTCAATTTCAGTTGTTCTGTCAGTTTTACTGTACACACGACAGTTTGTATGTATGTCAATATTGCTTCTTCACATACATCTTTTACTTGTGTGTTCACACGTGTGTATGCATTTTTGTTTATTTTTTCCTTCTATTTAAAGTCTTAATTGGCGTAAAACGATATTTTACATTCCTGATTATTGGCCTCTGAAATACTGACCTCTAAAATTTGCAGAAGCCTGTATTGTCATCTGTCCATTGGTGTTTACTTATGGTGTTTTTACACGATATGTATTTTACATATGTGCTGTCACTTATTTCATCCATATGTAATTCCTTATGTGTGTCAAAATTAGCAGTGTACACAAAACATTTATTTTTGTGTTCAAATCGGCATATGTATTTTACATATGACATAACCTATAAACAAAAAAACACTTTTATTTTTTCTTAAATCAACATCATTCAAAAATGCTAGTGTGTACACCGCATTAGTCTGCTTTTCCACAGGCAAATTTTTATTACGAAAATGTCACAATTTCCAAGGAGATTATATTGAGTAGCTAGTGTTGAAACATGGTATAATAATAGAAGGTAAAAGCCAAGGTGTATTTAATAAGGTGTATGCATCAGATACAACAACAAATATTTTACAAAAAACATTGTTGTTATAGAAATTAAATTGTCATGCTTACAATAAGTTTTTTGGTCCCGATTAATTTTAAGTTTCCCACATGGCTCCTTGTGATGTTGTTTATATTGTGAATTACAATCTATTTTTTCTATGGAGTGGCTTCAAATATTGCCTTCTTAAAGAAAATTGTATGTCCTTCAATTTCAATCCCCGGCCAAAGACTAAATCATGGGAATTGTGTTAACCGTATAAAATCTTTCTATAGGCGTATTTAACCTCCGACGAGGATTGTGACAAGCACCAAGGGGCCGATTCCAATATAGGCTAACATAATCTCCTCGATTTCATGAGTAGCTAGGATTTATGGACATATTTCCACACATAACATAAAATATGTGGACCAATCGGCGAACGGGGTTATAACTGATTTAAGCATATGTTTCCTTTCCGTCCGCCTCTATGAATGTATTTTCTTTAATTTTTATTATTAAAAAATACTACATTTAAAGACCATTTTTGAAATCGAAATGTAAGATTGAAAATGTTTTTGACAATTTACTTTACAAACAATAAGAAAAAAAGTTTGAAACCATATGATTGTCACTTACACCTTATTAAATACGCCTTGGTAAAAGCAAATGTTGTTGTACAACAAACGATGCAACAACCACATGGAAATTTGTTGTTGTAAGTTATACTAGTGTCAACGTCATTTGACAGAAAAATGTAAACAAACAAACAAATTATATTTGTTTTGAAAATGAAATATTTTCGAATGCTCAAAATAAAATTTGAAAACATGAATAAAAATCTAACAAATTTATATTTCTATCGCTTCCACATCTTTCCTATAATTGAGACATTGCCACTTATATGTGTAACACATATGAAAATGCTGGGAATTGCGAGTTATTCCACGAAGAAAGATTTGCTTCCTCAAACTTTCCCAGCAGGCATATTGAGTAAATTGAATACGTAAGGACATTTAATAAATAACAATTTCGAATTGTATACTTTCTCAATTTTCCTTTTGGGTGATTTTTAAAAAAGGTAATTTGTCATATTCATATTGACACTAGTATTACGTTGGAATCAAATCAGCTGGGGTTTTCTGTTACCTTTTATAAAAGTACATTTACATATACGATTTTAAATCGAGTCGATTAACGAAATCCAGAAATACACCCTAATTGTTTACACATACCCTTAATCATGATCTAAATGCCGATCAGCTGATGTTTGTTAGTATACATACAAAATTATTAATTTGCGCCAAAAATATTTGTTTGCAATTTGAAAAAGAATAGAAGAATTACCACAATGGAAATGTTTTTGCAATACTGTGATCGTTTGGAAAGTAAAAACAAAACACCTAAAACACAAAATTTCTATAATTAATTTTTATTTTCCTTTGATCTGTCATTTTTGTATTTGTCAGCCGTTAAATTTAAAAACAAACGGCATGTAAAAACAGTTGCAAATTTTGGTACATTGTGAGAGAGTTGTATTTTTTCGTACAAAACCCGCGTTGCATCTCAGTAGTATCATGATTTCGATCATGATTTAAAATAAATCCTGCTGCACGATGATTTCAATTTGTGTGGTAAATCATGGTAAATTTAGCCTGATTAAGAAAATAAACCCTGATTCAGCCTTTAATCATGATTAAATGTTATATGTAAATCCGCTTTAATTGTACCATGGTGTTGAAATAAGTCCATAGGTGTATGGTATAAACCTCAACCACCTTCAAAACCAATGAAACTGTATATTGACGGAAGTCCAGCTTAAGTCATTGTTTTTACAATTTACATACATAGAATATTTGCTAACAAAAAAATTAATACAAATAAATACATGTTTTTGTTTATTGTCGTCAAAAATTAATTGTTAGCATGACAATTTTATTTCTATAACAGCAATATTGTGTTTATTTTTGTTGTTGTATCTGATGCATATACCTTATTAAATACACATTTAATTGTACCATGTTCTGTAAGAATCTTCATCTGTTTACTTCGATAACCATTTTTCCTCTATGATATCGAAATAAACAGTAAAAAGTTGATTCTTGAAGTAAGGAAACAGACTACATATATGGAAATGTTAGTTCCGTTCTAGAAACTGCAAGAATCTAAAAATTTTACAAGCTTCGATTTTTTAAAAATACTTAAAACCTTCAGTTCTAACCTCACAATGATGTTTTTGTATTTTTATACAAAACCAGTATATATACAATAAATCGGATTTTCAAACGAAGGTGGAAATACTTAAGAAGTTTCTAGTTTAAATGTATAAAATAAATATAAACAAACAAACTGCATGGAGATGTAAAATTGTTTCATATGTTTTTTTAATTTATGAAGCATTATAAACCTTTTTACAATTTTTAAAAATGTTCATCACTAGAAAATTAATTAAAATATAAAACTAATTAAGGCGACATTCGTTGTTTATCGCAATTACAAACAACAAATTTACCTTGATGTATTATTTGGTATGTGTGTTATTTTTGGCAGCTACGTGAACACTAAAAATGTATCGAGACCTGATTAACAAAAAGTCGTACAATTGTGCATGTATCACCACGACTTGCCTTGTGTGATGTACATATAATTTCAGACATAAAATATCCGTAAAAATGTAAGTGGTTACTTTTCAAAAAAAACAACCCTGACATATATTGAAACACAAGCCAGTGCCGCCATTTTGTTTCGTCCATTTCCTATTTTCGTTCGCTTTCCGACTTTCAGGTTATTGAATTCATTCTCTTTTTGGCAGTCGTTGAGGTGAGTCGTGTGTCACCAAGTGTTTTTTAAATAAAGTGAATTTTTGTGAAAAATAAAGAAAAAAAATAAAAAGTTATGAGTGCTAAAACTGCAGTAAATGGCGGTGGGCCTTTGCCACAACGACCACAAAAAAATCAAGGAGACAAAAACCAAGATAAAGCATTGGATGGTCCAGCTGAAAAGAAGCCACGCTTTAATCAAGGCGGTGGACCCATGCAGAACAATCAGAACCAGAATAAAGGTTTTGGTGGAAATAAGAATAATCAAGGCTTCGGCAATAGAAATAAAAATCGGGGAGGTGGCAATCAGAATGCTAACAAAGGCAATTTCCAAAATCAACAGAATCAGGTATGTACATGTCTCATGAAATTTATTAATATCTGGTAGTATTAAAATGCTATTTTAACAAATGATTTTTTTGTCTGGAAGATATTGGTGTTATGAAAAATTATGTATAACACAAAATGGCTGCTGCCATTTTAGCTACCCCTCCGGCCTCGTGTCGACCGGCTTTATCTTACCTGGCATGCACGTAGTTGCCAACCATCTCATTGTTCACAATGCAGAGTTGTATTTTTAAAAAAGATTGTATACGTGTGTGTTTGTGTGGGGGTCATTGCTATATGTATTTTTCCATAGGAAGAAAGTTCTAATTTCTCTTCGATAAGTGAAATTATATAAATTTGGTTTATATGTTAAAATTTCGACTGCAAAGTTCTATTGGAAATTCATATTTATGAGAGCACGACAAACATTTCTTCCATTTTCTCACCCCTTCCACGCCGCGTGTCAGCATCATTGTAGAGAAATATGCGCTTGGCTGGGGGGAAAATCTAGTTTTATTTTATACACAATTTAATAATTTTAAGATTATTGTTCGCTTTTACCTCATGTTGTTATTGGATGCAGTTTATCGTTAACACGTTACCACTTTTAATCAAAATACAATATATACAACAAGAAATATTCTTGGAAAGCAGACTCCATTTTTAACAAGTATCCGCTATTAAGCAACTCTATTCCGATTAATGTTCTCCTTGTTCAGCCATTAGACAAATTACAACTCTGCCTGGTGCTGGATAACCCATAATATCTGATAATAAATAGAAGATACATTCCAACCACCTAATAGAACTCTGATAATCTTACTATATCATATGTACCATCATCACTTCCAAAAAAAAAAAAAAAAAAAAAAAATGTGAAAAGTGTGTATAAAATTTTATTATTATTATTATTTAGAACCAACAGCAGCAGAAACCACAACAGCAACAAGCACAAGCAGCTAATCAAGCTGCCGGCGGTCCTGCTGTAAAAGAAGAAAAAGTTCAAGCGGATACTAAACCGGCAAATACAAATGCCGGTCCTGGAAACGCTCCGCAACAACAGAACCAACAAAACCAACAGAATCAGCAAAACCAAAACCAACAAAATCCACAACAGAATAATCAGAATCAACAACAAAATAACAATCAGCAATTTCAACAAAATAGACAGCAGCAGCAGGGTGGTGGTGGATTCGGCGGTGTCGGCTTCGGTGGTGGCAATAACAATGATGGTGGCATGGGAGGCCGAGGTGGTGGTCAGCGCGATCGTGGTCAAAAACGTGATCGTAATTTCGGAAATCGTGATGGCCGTGATGGTGGTGGCCCAAGAGGTGGTCCCGGTGGTGGCGATGGTGGTCCACGTGGTGGTGGTCGCAACGACGAATTCTTTGTTAATCAGCGTTTGCGTTCTATCTCAGGCCCCACCCATGAACTTGAACCCATTCAAGCATCTGAGGAAAGCAAATTCTCTGGACGTAATCGTCTCTACGTCGGTAATCTAACCGGTGAAGTCAGTGAAGAAGAGTTGAGAGAACTCTTCAAGCCATACGGTGAAATAGCCGAGGTCTTCTGCAATTCAGAAAAGAACTTTGCATTCCTTAAAATGGATTATCATGCCAATGCTGAACGTGCAAAGCGCGAACTCGATGGTACAAATCGCAAAGGACGCGTTTTGCGCGTTCGTTTCGCCCCCAATGCCACAGTTTTGCGAGTCTCAAATCTAACACCATTCGTCTCAAATGAATTGCTGTACCGTGCTTTTGAAATCTTTGGTCCAATTGAGAGGGCTATGGTCAATGTAGACGATCGTGGTAAATCTACTGGTGAGGGTATTGTTGAGTTTGCTAAGAAGTCGTCGGCCAACATTTGTCTGCGCTACTGCAATGAGAAGTGTTTCTTCCTCACTGCCTCGTTGAGACCATGTGTCGTTGAACCATTCGATTTGACAGACGACAATGACGGTTTGCCCGACAAGTCGTTGAATAAAAAATTGTCAGAATTCAACCATGAACGCGGCATTGGACCTCGCTTTGCTGAACGCGGCAGCTTTGAACATGAGTACGGCACCAGATGGAAGCAGTTGCATGAATTATTCAAGAGCAAACAGGAGGCTCTGAAACGTGAATTAAAAATGGAGGAAGAGAAGTTGGAAGCTCAGATGGAGTATGCTCGTTACGAGCATGAAACAGAGCTTCTCAGACAAGGTATGTTTTTGCATTTTTCTATAAAATTGGTTGTTTGATAGAAAAGCCAAGGAAAAGAATTTCTATAAACACTTACATGACATTTTGTTTTTATAGAATTGCGCAAACGTGAGTCCGACAATGAACGTAAGAAGATGGAATGGGAAATGCGCGAGAAACAAGCCGAAGAAATGCGCAAACGTGACGAAGAACAAGTGCGTCGTCAACAAAGCGAAATGCAATCGCGTATGTTGCGCCAAGAAGAGGAAATGCGCCGCCGTCAACAGGAAAACACATTGTTTATGCAAGCCCAACAGTTGAACTCTTTGCTAGATCAGCAAGAGGGTGGTTTCAGTGGTAATTGCAATAACTTTGATGGCTTTGGAAACAATCCAAATCCATTCGATTTCAGAGGTAAGTGTAATTTAAAGGTTAACGCAAAACTAAATGTGTATTATTAATTAAATTTTATTTTCGAAAGTAAACATTTGCTTGTATCGTAATATTTATTCTATATTTGTTCTGTTTTTTCCATAGGCAATAACAATGGACCAAATGGTCCCAATGGCCCTAATGGCCCCAATGGTCCCAATGGACCAAACAACCCACAGGTACGTTCATTTTTCAATATGTTCAAAAGGCGAAGACAATAGAGCGTTACGTTTACAATTAAAATAACATAAAATTAAAGTCCAAATCTTAAGATATTGTTATTGGAAAAGAACAAAAACGACATCTTTGCTCTTCAATCTATAATAACTTTAATTATGAACGCCCAACCTAGTTGTTGGTGGCTGCTCTTTTCTGTTAACAACTAGTACTTCGTCTACAATGGCGAAACAGTATTTTTCGGGTCATTTTAATGATCATCATAGAATTGTCAGAACAACTGAATGAACATTTCATCATATATTCCTTATAAGACTTTGGTGGTAGAATAAGCAAACTCTTCTGTTATGCCTACCAACCAACCAACAAACTTTGAACAAATAGTGTAGTAATCATTATTATTTATAATTTAATTTTTAGTTTTCTTTTTATTTTCTGTAAATACTTTTGATTTGTGATTATATATAGCGAATGTTTAAGTAAGACTAATGTCAAAATATTGATAACATACTTATATTTTTAAATTCACACAAAACTTTGTATGGTTCAAAAGATTAGGAAACTACAAATTGTTTACTTTTAACCAACATATTAAACAAATCAATAAATAAACAACTTGTTTATTAGTAGAAAACAAACTTATTAAATGAATATGTCTTATTCTACTTTTTATTACTAATCTCCACTCACGTCGTCGTTGTTGTCAACGTTTATTGGCTGGAGCGGTGTCGTCCATCCTTCCAACTTCATTGCTTTTTTTCTATTGGAACATTATGCTGTGAATTTATGTTAACATAATGGCCAGTGTTAACATGAATCTAACATTTCAATATCGAATAGTTTGAATATACGTATAACAAATCTTTTGATATTGCAAATGTTAATAGTATGTTGTTTAACAAAAATCTATATTTCTGCTGAGAAATGGCATTGATTGTTGGATTCGGATGTTCATCGCCTAAGTCAGGCTAGAACATTTTAATATGCGATAATTTTATCTCGCACAATGTATTATTTTTTTCTGTATGATTGGAAATGATATTTTACTAACAACGTTACGCACACATTTATCAATAATTGGTGGTGTGTGCGAACACCTTGAAATTGTTTGACTCTTCAAAATGTTTAATTGAATAAATCTTGAGTACACATCTTTTGTTGATTGGGCTGGGAAAAATGAATTAATGAATCGTTGAAAAGGAAATTAACTCTCTTTTGTCACTTATAAACGATTGTTGGAATTTCCGACATTGTTTAAAAAATTGGGCTAATTTAAGTAATAAATTTATTTTATGATCATTGGGTTTTATTCATTGATCATTGGGTGTGTTCTATTTCTGATGCTATTAAACGTTTGTGTTTGAAAATGAGATTTAATTATATTTAATTAAGAATTCACCAAATGCGGTGGGCATTATATTTAAATATATATTTGATTAAAATGTTGTAATTTAGTTTGCATTGAATCTTCTACACCTTAGAATGCTATAAATTTTAGTATATTTAGATAGTTTAGAAATTTTCAATTATTGTTTAACTACATTTTTTTATTCCTTTTTTTTTTGCTTTCAAACGAATGCATTGAACTTGTCAATAATTGTGTCTACGGACATCATGAGATATAGTCTCGATTTTTTTTGCAAAAGAAAATATATAATTGTGATTGATTCATCATCTTGCTATTGGTTATATCCATTTTTGTTAGGGAGACGATACTAAATACCATGACTTCTAAAAGTTATATAATAAAAATTTGTTAATTCCAACTTACGTCTCAATTGAGAATACCAAAAATATGTCGGAAACGTATGTACGTTTGTGTATATCACATATAATTCTTTGATCTATATCTCTCTGATATATATCTAATTCTATTTTTATTCCATAAAACATGCATTCAAAGGTCTTTTGGAAATTTTTGCGAGCTAATCGAAAATATATGTTTGAAGCTTTTATGAAAAAATTTTAATAATACTCGGACCGGATGTTATTCTGGAATTGACAATCACTTTTGCTATATTATTTGTCTCTTTTTGCGGCGATGGGCGCCTTATTTAACAATTTTTATAAATATATTGCATTATCTATGGTACTGCAAAATTTTATATAACATATATATTAAAACAATTAACATTTTGAAATTGAGTTAAAAATATCAAGCATTTGTTTGGTAACAATACATTTCCATTGGTTTCTTTATCCGTCCCCTTTGGCTTTCTCTCCAAATTGATCTTGATATTAAACTATGAAATGGCTGCATGGGGCATAAGCCATGTTTTTCTTCCGATGTCGATAACATGTGATATGTGCATCTATCTACACTACTTTCAAAGACGACCGAAGAATATCTTCTGATGAATTTGGATAATAGAAATATAGAATGTACTTTTTTAAATTTAATTTTTTTTCTTTTCTTTTACTTATTTTTTTCTTTTTGTATGATTTGTATTTTTGCTACATTGACTGATATTATATAACATCGTTGTACATAATTATGTATTATTTTACCACTTCAAAACTACCTTTAAATTTGCATCCTCTATATAGGATTTCGGATTTGAATTTGGTGGTAACCAAAATCAGCCAAGTGGTGGTGATAATGGAAATCGTGGAGGCGGCGCTCAACGCGGTGGAAACAATGGCGGCGGTAACAACAATCCATGGGAACGCCGAAGACGTTTCTGAGATGAAGCTACAGACGATTCACCTATATTGATACATACCTAAATAATTAGCACATAAAACTGATCAACTTTATCTACAAACAATTCTTGGGGTATTTTGGTGTGATGGATAAAAATGAACATTGCAAACATAGTATTAGTTATACCTTTAAGGCAGGAAAATCCCTTGATTTACATGGAAGCAGAAACAACAACTTATCCACTTATACTCTACCATAAATGAAAAACAACCTCGAAGCTATGCTACTCTACTCTGCACTAAACATTCCCAAGCTTTAGAGTTGGCGTTAAAATTTGTCTTTTGAAAAGCCCATTCGATCGTTGGGCAGTCAGTCATGAGTGATGCGATGTAGTGTGTGTTTCGTTCATGTTTACGAACAAACGCGAAAACAAATTACATTTGCATACAACAATTGAAGATCTCGCAGCTGGTTCTTGCTTTGTGTGTCGTCTAGTACGCAATATATGAAAAACAACAACTACCACATATTCATCAAATTGTGGGTGCCCATACAAAATGGTGCTACCAACCCACATCCCTTTACAACTTATGATGTGTGTCATCCATCGTTTACATAGAACAAAATGTTTTAAATTGGAATTAAGGGGATAGACATATAGAATAAATTTACATGTATGTGATCGTTTCGCTCTTCATTGGAGCGACATGGCCAGTATACATATATTTTTATGCATTTGTGGCCTCTGGATTCCCTTTAATTCATCACTTCATTAAGACTATGTTGAAATAGTATCATATATTTATATACCTAATTACAAATGATCAAGACCATAGTGGATATGTAAGACAATTTACATACAGATTTACAATTTTAATCTCAAATGATAGATTTAAGCAGAAGACTATATATATAACAACCACTAATATTAACATAAATACTAAAACTAATTTTTAGACCACATTTCGGAAGAACTCATTGATTCGTTCGTCTTGAGAAGAACAAAAATTCTTATTCTATACAAAAGAAAAAAAGTAATAAGTTTTATCGTCTTCTTTTCAAATTAATTATAATAATCATTATATGATGATTGTATACTGCAACATTGGATGGAAAGTGTATTTCCATTTTTTAAAGATATATGTGAGAAATGAAATGTTTCCCTCATAGTTTATTATAGGTTATACTTATCTATCTTTTATTTTAACTCAACTTTAATATATATTTCATAATTATAAATGACAAAATATCAACAAAAAAGAGAGAGAGAAAAAAAAACAACATAAATGATACTCAAAGAAAAATGAGTATGTTAAAAAATTAATAACAATATTTGTTTCTATTTTAAAGTTTGGTAGCAGGTCTACTAATACTTGGCTAATATGTGAACATATGGGGATTTTGTGGGGATGGTATGAAGATGATTGTATGGGGGACAATGAGCTCTGGGAGCGAGCTGAAGTATTGAACTTTGTCAGTAATGCAATATATGTGTGTATGTGTTTGAATGATATTTTTTTTTTTAATTTGCTGATATGTTAAAAACATATATGATAATTATTGCGAGAATGATGTCTTCTGAAATATCACAAATTTTAAACAATATATCAATGTCTTCATATTTAATATCGTTTTAATAATATAAAGACATTTTTGAATTTGTTCATGCTTTATTTAATGATATTACTTACTAATTCGTTTATTTAACAACAATATTGTTAATTCAAAAATATGTTGAGCTAGAACGCAAATTATGCACTTTGAAAATTTGGAAATTAAATTGTATAAGCCAACTTCTACACCTTTTTCAGATGTTATTCAGAACATTACAATTGTAATTCGAAAATTACTGATGTAATTCATAACATTTCATTTTTAATTCCAGAAATCCATTTGAATTTCGAAATATTTCAATTTTAATTCGAGAATTCAAAGCTCTGAATTACAAAATGTATTAATATGAATAACAAATGAATTTTGAGGATTACAATTGGAATCTAAATTTTTGTATTTCAACAGAAGTGTTTCGATAACCATCTGAGAAAGCATATAGAAAAGATTTCAAGTCTATTTGTCCACAAATTCGTATCTATCAAATTAACCTACGTCGACGATTTTTTTTCCGTGCATTTGCACTATTCCCTATATTTTTAAACTTTTTTCAAACATGTCCTACTAACATTCACATTGTTAGTAGGGCGTGTTTATATCGCAGAAAATTTAATAAATTACTACTAAGTATAAAATTAAATATGTTATGGTGTGGATACCTAGGCCATAGGGTCAATAATGTCTTCAAAAACTAAAAATTATCTCTTGCCCCAGAATCATAAAAATATAGATGTGTGACTACGATTGGTATGATTGTTGATTGTGTCTTGATGTTGAATATGAATCTTTAAAATATTGTGTGTATTGGATGATGACGGATGTATGTTTGTGCATGTAAATGTTTAATTGGTTTGTGTCTGGAGTGAATTTTTGATGTGAACTACTGAACTGAAGTGCGTGTAAAATACGATGTGATGGTTGAATGAGTGAAAAGGATGGATGTAGTTTACATAATTTCAGTATACATTACAATAATCGCCAACATATTGGACGTAAACATAAATAAATGTTTAAGTGGATTGTATGGAATATATGGATCTACAAATTGCCCAAATATACAAGGATAAACATGGGATCATCGATCTCTCTACTCAACACATTCTTTTATGAAGATTTGAAGCCGAAGACGCTTTGTTCACTTCTACAATAATAAATTTAACAAATTGCCGATGTCACAACATTAAAATTCCACCTGTACTCAAATAATGTTGAAGTGAACACAAGATTTATGTGTACACCTTTGCCAATCCAATGAATTAAATGATATTTTTTATTTCGCATGAGGTAAGATTTTTTTATGAAAAAGTGTAATATTTTATTTAACCCGAATCTTGTCCCAATCAATATTTCTTAAGATTGTAATCCAAATTATGTTTTTCTCATACATATTTTGAACTTCGAAAAGTGGACAATGTGGCAAAGAGCATACAACGAATGACAACATAGGTGGAAGCGTGCAGTATATGGCTACAAACAAATAATAATACCACCACCGCCTGCCTTGTCAAATGTTATATGTTTTGTGTTGAATTGCATTGTATGGAACAATCTCTGGTACGATGGGTACAAAGATTCGGGTTAATATCAACTTAATAAACAATTTAATATGAGTTAAATCCAAAGAGCTAAACACCATTACATTAACTAATTTAGAATGTAAAATCTGATTATATCAAATTTTGTATTTGAATCTAGTACAGATATAATCACTTTTGAATAAGTGATAATCTTAAAAGAGGACAACTGTACTCTTCTTGCGATACAGCTGTTGCTGTACCCCATTTTGTTTTGTTACCCAGCAATAATATAAATATTGCTATATTCCAGAACCAATAGGAATCTCCTATTAATCGAAACTATTTTCGATTTTCTTATAATAAAATTGAGAAGTTGTACCAATTTTTGAGTGCATACAATGTTTTATGGGAATTCTGATTTCCTAAACTCTCTATCCATCATCAATGGACAATTCTCTTTTTGATTGAACTGATTCAAAATCCAACAAAAAATTGTTCTTCAAAGGACCAAAATACGTTTTAATTTTTTATGAACCTTTTTGCAACTCATATTTTTGAATAAAATATTTAATGTTTAGCAGAAAAAATAAACTATTTACAACACATATACCAAGGTCACTTTATAAGATTATCCAGGAGGACTAGCCGAAGTGCATATGATGGTGTCAAAATATATTATTTGAAAAATTATAACAAGTAAATTTTAAGAGTTTTATGCCTTAATTCTGTCCAGAATAAAAATAAATTTTGACAGAAATATAAATCTAAGGCATACATTTTTTTCCTCCTGCGCGATCTTATAAATTGGCCTTAGTATATTCCAAACCTGCTTGATTTTTTATTAAGATTTGACACGACTACTATACTATTAAGCCATGCATGTGTGACGTTGATTGGCCTATTAAAGTTCAACTACCATATTCATTTTATTTTATGTTTTGGTTGATACGTCAATTTCTCATCCTCTTAAAAAATTACGTGTAGAAAAATACAAAATGATCAGTACAATGATTACTAGGCCTTTTTTACAAGACGTTTATATAATATTTAATATTACATTTACATATTCCTTTAATAACAAAATTACTCAACATTGCATATAAAGTAGATATCTTCATAAGGGCCGTTTTCATTTCTGTTATTAGAATGACCAAAAATGTTCCTAGAACATTTTTAAGAACTTTCTGATCATAATATATCATGATATTTGACTCCGACCTGAGACCACCGACCCCCTTATCAACGACATTATGTGCATGGCTTGACTGGCGTATAAAAGAAAACATCAAAAATCTTTACAAATATTTCTATAGGTTTTAATTTTATTTTTCTTATAAAATTTCAGTATGAATGGGCAAATGTTCTTGCGGCTTCTTGAACTGAAACCAGAATGTTGGATTGGCTGACAATAAAGGTATGCAAAATGAGTTTATTTACAATTTTTAGCATTTTCGTCGCAATTCATATAAAATTGAACCTTGTATGTGAGGTTGTTACTTACGAATATTCAATTTCCACGCTACGGAAATAATCATATTAATGCAAGCCTGTAAAATAAACCAAAATATTGTCCACTTTTTAGAAGACAATAATTTCCCCAGCGATATAAACAAGGTTCAATAGTATGTGAATCAACAAAAATTTGTAATTGACGAAAATGTTAAATATTAATTTTGTCATTTCTCCATTATCAATGATTAGAATAACGGATCTAATTCCTGAACGACTTCCCAAAGTGTAATTCCGTGTTGATTTGTTTAAATGAGAATTTCTTCATTCACATAGGACCGCCCATACATCAACAACTAAATATATGACATTTTTGTTAATAATTTCTTTTTATATGTTTTCAGATTATGGATAGATATGTCGACCCTTCCGATTGTTCACAAGGTAAATACGACTTTTTCTTTTAAAATGTGATCTTAGTTTCCATCAGTGATTATAAACAACGGATCTAATTCCTGAATAAAATCCCTTACATTTTTTAATCTTGTTGAATCGCATTTATGAGTAAAATTAGATCAGTGAAATTAAATACATGAGGAATTTGCATGATTTTACATATATATTTTTATTTTTTTTTTTACAGATTGCTCACAGTGTCATTGCAGATAAGAAGTTGTTCATGATACTCTTAGGTAAATAAAATCATTTTATTGGAAACATAAGAATACATCCCTATTTAATTCAATGATTATAACATTGGATCTAATTACTGAACATAATTTCCCTTACCTAATTAAAAAAACAACCATGTTGATTCATTTAAATGAGATTTCTAATAACAAAGTTTACAATTTGCTTTAAGAGAGTGTAGCCATATATTAATTTTTGTTATTCTTTTTTGTGTTTTGCAGGGAAATTGGAAAATAATCGTCATTTCAAACATATTGAAAATTTGTGGAATAGGTAATTATACTTTTTATTATAATTGTTTTCTATCAATTCCATTAAGTATACATGGGTTTTAAAACACATTAACAAATTTAACATGTACTTTGTTAACATGATGACACTAGTTACCGTATGATATAAACAATGACTATACATCATTCGGCTGCGCTATATTGCGTACTGATTTAAATTCATAAGAATGTATTCACCATAAAACTTTCAAAGGTCAATCTATAACTTTTTTTATTTTTCCTTTTAGAACAATTCATTGTGGAACCCGTAAGATATGGTCATTAATTTAGTCTACATAGAAGAAAAAAAAGGTAATTTTCATAAAACGTAATATTTATATAATATAATACAATCGAACTTGTTCTTTGAAACGATTTTTTTTTTTATAAAATTATATAATGTGTATATTCTAACGTAGTAATTTATAAAAAAAGAAGTTCGACTGTATTTTAAACAATTGTATATGATGACAAAAGTTACCGTATGATTCAAAGTAATGACTATACAACATTCGGCTGCGCTCTATTGCGTACTGATTACCTTCTATAGTTATATTTTTAAATCATTTTTTCAAGTTCTAACACTAACCTTGTTTTTTCCTTTATATTTTTAGTTTCTTGAGACGAATGCATGATTCGGCGATATGTTTTATTTGGAATAAATTATAAATTAGGTATGTTGAATAAAAACAAATATTTTAATATTAAGATATTTTCTAAAATGAGGACAAAAGTTACCGTATGATCAAATAATGACTATAAAATTTTCGGCTGCGCTTATGCGTACTGATTTCGTTCCTAATTTGATATATGAAGAAATTTCAAGTGGACATATAATAAAGAAGTCGTCTTTATTTTTCTTTCAGGAATAAAAATGTCGACGAAAGCCCAGACGAGGAGCCACTATATCCAGATTTCATAGTATGAATTGTAAGTCAATAATTTTATATAGATTTCTTTTACATTCGATATTTAATGATGAAATTAATTGGTCCGTGTTTATGAATTTAAATTGATTAACCTATTCCAATTACTGATATAATATTTAAGTTACTATTTACAAATACCGTATTATACAGAACACAGAGTATTGATACAAACATTTTTTTATTTCTTTTAGGAATTTCTCGAAATAAATCCGCCTTCAAAGGATATTTTCTTGATACTATTGGAATGGAAGGTATGTTATTTGATTACTACAAAACCCTAAAATTAATTACTACCACTTCATGTTTCGATTACAATAAAAATACTTGAATTCAATGATGATATTAATTGGTCCGTGTTTATGAATTTAGTTTGATTTTCTCCTTCCAATTACTGATCTAATTTAAATACAAGTATTTCTTTCTTGTCATTATTAATAGATCACTAGAGTAATTATATGTTTTTATCACTTTTATAGGTGGACAGATTTATAATATTTTGAACGGATTTCTTCACATCACAATTGATAATGTAAGTACATGAAATAAAATAAATTTATATTATCATGTATGTTTTCATGATGATATTAATTGGTCCGTGTTTATGAATTTTATATTGATTTTAACCTTCCAATTACTGATCGCTTTTTTATTGCATTAGTTGAAGAACAAACTCGCTATATGAAACAGTGATTTTTCATGTGTGTTTTCTTTTTCTTATAGATCGGTTCGAAAGACGCTGCTGTGGTTGGTGGTGATCGATCGCCTTAGAAATTTGTTTGGATAACAACACCTACCAGAAGCAAGATGTTTTGTAACTTTCTTTTTCGTGGAAAATTAGTCGGTTCTAAATTTTCTTTCATACTGTAAAAAATCTCTGGATTATTTAAATTTATTTCCGCCGACTTAAGTTGAAACAAAAAAGGCTTCGAATTTCGTGAATATATTGTTTTGAAAAACAAATATACTCCATAAAAAAATTAATAGAAGGTTAGCTACTACCGTCTTCATCATGGAAAATGACAGATTGAAAAATCTACGTTATAAAAGAATTCATTGAAAGTCAATTGTAGTGAAATTTGTAACATTTTGTTTAATATGTTTTAGTCAAAACTTATCCTATAATTGTTGTTGTATCAGCCCTATTGCGCTTTGACACATTGGGCTGAGGTGACAGATCGTTTCGGACCGTAGGACCCCTCTGTCATGGAAACCCCATATAGCATAGTATTTTATTTGGGTTTACAAATAAAACACTTATCCGATTTTATTGCTAGATTCTTGCTATGAAATGCAGACAGTGAAATTGATATTAGCGCCAAATTTTTAAAAAAGTCAGAAAAAAATTTTACCGGTTACAGTAAAATTTTTTTCTTACTTTAAAAAACGATTCTGGCGCTAATATCAATTTCACTGTCTGTTTTTCCTAGTAAGAATCTGCTGGCTACAAGGTTAATTAAAACGTATTCCTCAATTAGGAAGCATTGGTGGAATGAAAGTGGTGTGTAAATGCTTAGATACATTCTGTTGCCTTTTAAATTGTTAAAATTTACCAAGAAAGGTACAAAACATCCTGCTCATCTGGGTAGGCGAAGCTGTTGAACAATATACTTCTTTTAACACATCTAAAAATATTTCACAGGTAGGTACAAACAATAAAACATGTGAATTATGTTATACATTATTTAACCCATTCCTGTGCCAAGTCAATACTATATGATGCCATTTACTCTTATTATATTTGTAGTATATTTCAAGTTTTTATTTAAATGTTTTTATTAGGTTTGTAGTTAATTAGTAATAAATCACCCCTATTCTGTATGTCGTCGTCGACACGAAACGACGTCGAAGAGAGTCGACTTTTGCAAATTGGTATTCCCTATGTCGTTGTCGACATTTATCGATAACTATTGAAACATTTTTGGTATTCCGTAACAATGTGTGACGACGACGATGTCGAAGATTTCTTCGTCATAGTTTTTGTTGACGACTGAAGCGTTTGAACATTTTTTTTTTTTTTTTGAAATTAAAAAAAAACATGACCGGACAAGAACAGGATATATCATTCTAGAATCTATTCAATACTTAATGCAAAATAAAGTGTAAATAAAGAAAAATATATGGGATCTATATATAAATCTAAACCGATATTTACCAATGTCAATGTCTATGTGGAAATAAAATTTCATCCCAATTGGATGGATTTTTTTCCAAATTTCATCTCGTTCGGATCATAATGGTGGCATGTAACTTGTTTAAAATAATACATGAATGGAGGGACATGCATAAATCGACTGAAAAATAATTCTATGTACATACTATATACTAAAAAGTAACTATGGGTCTATCTCGTTTCTTTTTGGTCGTTTCAAACACATTTACCAAGACATAATGCCCTGTGCCACAGTGCGGTGAAGGATACAAACACATTTTGCCCAAAAATATGCAACAAAATTTTTGTTTTTATTGATATTATCGATAAATAGTCGACATCGTCGCATGAGTGTTACAGAATACCAAATCAGTGTCGAAGTGATGTCGATGTCGATGCGAAGTGATGTCGAAAGAGAAACGTCGTCGACAACGACTTACGGAATAGGGGTGAATATTATATCCTTGGCTACGAATGGGTTAAACTTCTTCGAAATATTTATGATGAAAACACATTCTCAAGGTCTTCTTTTCCCGACATAATTACATATTTTGATGATAATTATTGAAATCTGAATACTTTTTATTTATTTTTAATATATCTTTTTTTGACATGTACTAATTTTACCTCTTTTTCTTATTTTTTCAGGTATGTTGTAACTATCTTCCCGTACTCCATATTATCTCATATATTATGAAACCAATGAGGATACTTTCTAACTATTTGTCTTCTTTTCCCGTCATACAAATTATTGATGACTATGTTGAATCTGATAGTGTTAATCTTAATGTATTTTTTATTGAAAGACTGAATTGTAAATTCTATTTTATAAAAACACATTTTATATTTTCCATTTCAGGTATGTTTGTTTTCTGGTAATTTACTGATTTACACAATAAATATATTTTTCAAATTTAAATTGTTGTTTTATTGTTTAGTATTCTAATCCTAAGCGTGCAGAACCTCTAGTTATTACGCTTAACACAAATTCAATCTCACCATATGACTCCATTGATAAACCTACAAAAATCAAAAAATATTGGTGTTTGAAAGAAATTAGTGTATATTGTGGGTTTGGTTGTGGATTATAAGTAAATAGAATTTTGCAGTCGTTTTGCGACAATATTTGAGTTGCATTGGTTGTTTTCGATATTATCTCTATTTTTTATTTATTTATTCGAGCATTAACATGCATACGAAGCCTTCAGACCGATTCAGAGGATAAATTATACCCAACAAAATTATTTAACTACACCATTCAACCTTATTATTTATAAAAAAAGAGTTCTTAAAATACAATTTTTGCTTTGTTCTTGTAACAGCAAAGGACAAAATCTATTCAGCGTTATTCTAGACATCAATTCACCGTGAATTTGTTCGCTCTACCCTTTAAACTTATTCTGAGCCATAACTCGCAGCGAATTTTTTCGCATTTTCACTTTTGCCTTATTCAGAATCATGTTCGAAAGCGAAAAAATCCGCTTTGAGGAAAAATTAGTTATTCTGGATTACAGGGAGTGGAGGAATGTGATGACTTTTTGTGGGAATTTTTTTTCCTAATAAATTTATAGGGAGCTGACTACAAAAATATATGTATTAAATATTTTTATGAAAAATATTTACACAATACTTATTCTATGACGATTTTTAATATTATAAATGGTTGTACGCATATTTTTAACTCAAAAACAAATAAAATGACATTGGAAATCCTATCCAAATATTGCCCCGGAATGTATAAAGGCAATAAGGAATATTAACCCTTTATGGCCCAATGTTGCCCACAGGCAAATGTTCTAGAGCTTATATTTAATACGCGGCAAGTAAATGTATATTTTTTTGGATTACATATGTTAAGAGCTAATTATGGACGACACATATCAAAAGAAAAATCTAAAAAATTCATAATTTTGGACAAGTTATACGCTTTTCAATACATAGATGAGTGCAAAAATATGTACAGTACCAAATTGTGTATACAGTCCAAAATATTTAAATAGCTTCGTATTCAAAATGCACGAATAGTACCTTCTAAATAAAAAAGAACCTAAAGAATAAAGAATAATTAAAATTGATTTTTTCGTCGATTTTGCATTTGTTTTTGTTGATATTGGACTTTTATTTTTCGGAAAGAAGGTACTGTATCTCCCGAATGCAAGGATGTAGCGACGTCAAATTTTGTTCATTTAGGATAGTTACATTAATTCTGTGCACAGAAAATAGTTCTATTGTCACGTGAAAAAATTCGGGCCACAAAGGGTTAAAGCCGAGTTTGATGCGATTTAGAGGCGATCTGCGATTTGTTTGATGACCTGTCTCCAGAAAAAATATTAAAAATTATGGAAAAAATCACATGGCCAAATTTGCCTGATGAGCACAGCTTAACAATGAAAAACTCAAATAAAAATTATGAAAGAACAATAATAAAGCTGCAAAAAATATTTTTTCTGTCAAATTTGTCGTATGCATGATTTGAAAAACGAAATAAAGGAGGAGAAGGAGCATATCATAATAATAAGATATGATATGCTCCAAATGCAATGTAGTGTATAAGATAAAATGTAATAGGGACAAATCCAACGTATGCCAAATGGTATATGTTGGTACAACAAAAAACTTAAGACTAGACTTTCTGGACGTAAGTCAGATCAAAATTCAGACAAACCTTTAGAGCAAAAAACGGCGCTTGCTGCACATTGCAAAAAACTGGACATACACCGAATTTTAAAGACGTGGACATATTGACGCAAGAAAATAATTATAAACGACGATTCACATTAGAAATGTTAAACATAATTAATGTACCTAACGATAGAAGAATGAATTATAAGACTGACACGGACCACTGTGCACATATATATAGAAACATAGTTCATAAGCACAGACGGAAAAACGAAAAACTTAGTTTAGCATAGACCAAGGTATATTAATGAGGTAACAGTATCAAGCCAGCTGGTGGTAATATTATATGTCACAACATTTTTTTCTTGAATTCGCCGAAAAAAAAAAAATAAAATTAAAAATGAAAATTAAAGAAGACAATTTCTGAAGAAACAAAACATATACATAGGTCATGTATAGGATACCTTCACATGAACTTCTTTAGGAAGATCTTTTACTACTACACGAGAAGAGCATTTTGGATTTTTATAAGAATCTATTATCTTGAAACTTTCTATAACGATTTGGTGGCGCATTTCACGTAAAAAATGCCCTCATTATATACCGTATAATAATACGTCTATCAATAATCTAAGGGCGAAGCCTTAATTTTCGAATGAGACCTTCAGAATAGACAATTCATATGATAAGGATATTGATCTAGAAAACCAGAACTGCATCCTGGAGTTTTGTTGTTAAATATTGTTCGAATTCAGTTTCTTCAATTTGGCATTTTGGTTTCTTATGGAATGCAAATTTTCTTGCAAAACTTTCTATGTTCGCTTCCATATAATGATACGTCCCAATTTCAATAATGTGGTTGTAATTTCGAACCTTAGATTTTCACATATGTATGTTGAGTTTGGTATGCTGAGGTGTTGCTACCACAGAAAACGTATTCAAAATGGGTCCACGTCTTCGTTTCTCCAAAAATGTATTCGTTGTCATCAGTTCCTTAACATTAACGAATCATTTTTATCATTTATGCTTCATAAATTTACGATTTGCAAAAAACACACAAATTAAAAAAAGTAAATAAATATTTTATAAAACTTCACAAATGCTTTGTTCTGATTGGTTGAAAAATAGAAGGCGAATTCATTTTTATTCGCCTTGATAACAATTTTGACATATCATGTTCCCAATTCGCCGATGCGGCTACCTTATATATCTACCTTGGCATAGACGGTGATAAAAATCGGTTGCTTTTCTCATAAAAGTAAGATCTGTGCAATACAATTAAGTCTATATCTTTAAAATATTTGTATGTTTTGTAGTATTTCCCTGAAGATGACTGCCGAAGACAGTCGAAATATTGGAAAATAAAAACAAACAAAAAAAGAAAAACATAACCAACTAGTTTTTCAATTGACCTAGAGCCAAAACAAAAATCCACAAGAATAATTAGCCACTAATAATCATAATAATTAGCCACTTTAAGGGGACCCCCCATTCTAGGGGTTAATTTTTTTTTTTAATTAAATTTGAATCTAAACTAATTCAAGAATGTCACTACAAAATTTTAAGTGAAAATCTCAAGAACTCTTGAAAATATAGCCGATTTATTGTGTCAGCATCATGTGACGGCTGAAGGGCTTCACAAACTTTAAACTCGTTTCTCTCTTTTGCGAATGGCGGGCACAATAACTCAAAGACTAATAACCCAATCGATACCAAATGTTTACACGTTTCTCTGTGAGTGTATAGCTATCGTATGAACTAGGATAAAGCCAATCGGTGAAGATCTTCCTTATTTTTTAACTTGGTTTTTGGTCAAAAATCGGCGATTTTCCAAAAATATTTTTTCAAAGGTCCGCCATTTTGTTAATTTTAGAGCGAAGTCAATAATCCTAGTTCATACGAGAGCCAGACATGTACTCTTTCTAACACCGTTGGAGAGGTATGTTAACTAATCAGTATTTCCCCGTGATACTATTCTGTTTTCACATTTAGAAAAATATTCCAATCGAATCGAAGGTTTATCAAAACATTTTCCCCTTCCGGTTTGTAATAATTAGCCGACCGACACCACATGATTGGTGTCTATTTTATCTAAATATATCTTACCCTTGTTTTTTGTATTATCGAGCAATATTTTCGGATCTTTTAATTCTGGATTACGGCCCGTAATCCAACTGGTTATATCTGCCAATGTATTACTGCATAGTGGTCTTAATATTGGAGATTTTATGCGCTGATTACATTCACTTCCAAATATGGGAACATGGAGACGACTATAGCCCAACGATGTTTCAATTCCCCAACGTGTTTTGCCATAAAGGCAAACAATTATTTGTGGCCCTGTAATGATTATTAGGATATGGATGGGTATAACAACGGTGAGAAATTGGAAAGTTAAAACTTACAACCGAATACATTTGTGCTGCGATATGTCAATTCAATGGGCATATTAAATACAATGGGGTCGTTGAAATTCCCATTTCGATTTGAAGCATATTGTGTGATGCCTTCTTTAGATCCACTGACATGCTCCCAATCGGGACCCGTTATACATTCGTACCGGCAGAGTATGTCTGAGGCGTCGGGGCCTAATGGGAAAATTGCCGATTCCATATGGCCTGTTATGAAGATATTAAAGTAACTCGCAGCTGTTGTATTGACTTCCATCTTTGTTTGTTAGCTTGTTTTTTTTTGGAAAATTAATTTCCAACACATTTCAAATACAAATTCCGTTACTATGACAACAATTGGGGTGGTTTTCATATTTGTTTTAAATGTTTAGGGCTCTTTAAACTGTGTGATTACATAATATGCAGTGGGAAGTTAAAAGAAACAAAATCAACAAACCAACTAATGTAAAAAATATGAAGATATTAATATACTGAATTTCTTATCTGCGAAAAGAGTTGTCCTTATGATAGACATCAAATAAGAACGGACAGTATGCTGCAATCATTTTTGAACACAACCTGTGCTCTGATTCAATAATTATATAGTTTGACAGACATTTTTCATAATTACAAAATTCTTCAAATATTTCAAAATCTTCACAATAGCACTACAAAGTATAAAAGGGTTTAGAACAAAATTAACGATGGACATGAACTCGGTACGTCAGAAAGGACCTTATACACAAATAGCGTTGGGCTCTGCCGTTGGTTTGCTAGCTGGATTGGTCACAATGAAGTTGGGTAAACTTGCAGCAATCGTTGTGGGAAGTAGCATTTTACTATTGGAAATCGCTCAGATAGAGGGACTCATACAACTCGATTGGTCGACTCTTCCGAATATATTTGAAAAAAGTAAAGAACAAATTGCAGATAAGACTTCCCTAATTCTACAGGCAAGGGATTTTGCAACTACCAATATGACGTTCACAGTTGCTTTCGTTGGTGGGACATTTTTTGGCATTGGATTATCTTAAAAATAATAAATTTAGTCATCGTATGTTTGCTTATCTATTTTATATTCCTGGCAATCAGTTAATAAATTATTGAATATCAACAGAAATGTATTTAAATCCAGGGAAGGATTTTTTTCGCATTTTCACTTTCCCCTAATTCTGAATTAACTTCTAAAGCGAAAAAATCCGTTTGCAAAATCCATATGCATATTTTTAACTCGAAAACAACAAATAAAATCGCATTGGAAATCCAATTGATAACGATGCATGCTCAACCAAATATTGCCGCGGAATGTATAAAGGCAATAAGGAATATTTCAGCTGAGTTTGATGCAATTTGGGGCATACAATGAAATAATAAACTGCGAATTAACTCAATTCAATCGCAGATTTCTTCTCATTATTTGTTGTGTCTTTGACATCTTTCAATGAGGTTTTGTCATAATAAACCAGTAAGGAAAGTAGTAAAGTCGGACGGGGCCGACTATATGATACCCTTCACCACTATGGGTATATTAAACAGGACTATTATCATGAAATTGTATGAAATAACATATGTGATATTTATCTAAATGTGAAACGACCTAGATCTATCCATAAACATGTCATTCGTTTGTTACAATGGAACAAAAGTATGTAAATCGACTTCAAACAAATGTCAATAGTTCATCCGTTGAGCTAGGTCTGTACTTCTAGAAAACCCAACTACGTTATTCTATGGTCAATTTTGTACGTTGTGCAAAATTTGATGTCAATCTAACAAATATTAGGAGTTTGATGCACAATTTACTTTTATATGGATACTATATCTAAATATGAACCGATTTCAACGAAACTTGTCACAGGTTAGGTTATACTAATTTCAGTACGTTTTTTTCCTATCAGCCATACATTGGTTCTTTGGTGCGTCAATTACTTAAAATCAATCTATAATATAAAGAGCTATATCTAAATCTCAACCGATTTTCACTAAACTTGGCACACATTATTCTGGATTAAATTAAAAACGCTATGCAACATAAGAACTTGGTACATTATTTAGATTAAATCGGACGAAAATATATATCTAGATCTGAATCGATTTTCACGAAACTCAGCACACATCATTCCAGCATCAATTCAGAACGCTATGCCAAAATTTGTGCCAATCGAAGGATACATGTTGTGCACCATTTACATTAAATCGGACGAAAATATATATGGGAGCTATATCTAAATCTGGACCGATTTTCACGAAACATACCAGACATCATTCTAGGCTCAATTCAGTACGTTATGTCAATTTTTGTGCAAATCGAAAGATATATAGGGACTTTGGTGCACCATTTACCTGAAATCGGACGAAACTATATATGGGAGCTATATCTAAATTTGGACCGATTTTCATGAAACTTGGCAGACATCACTCTGGGCTCAATTCAGTACGTTATGCCAAATTTCGTGCAAATCGAAAGATATATAGGGACTTTGGTGCACCATTTACCTAAAATCGGACGAAACTATATATGGGAGCTATATCTAAATATGGGCCGATTTTCACGAAACTTGGCAGACATCACTCTAGGCTCAATTCAGTACGTTATGCCAAATTTCGTGCAAATCGAAAGATATATAGGGATTTTGGTGCACTATTTACATGAAATCGGACGAAACGATATATGGGAGCATTATCTAAATCTGGACCGATTTTCACGAAATTTTGCAGACATCACTCTAGGCCCAATTCAGTACGTTATACCAAATTTCGTGCAAATCGAAAGATATATAGGGACTTTGGTGCACAATTTACATGAAATCGGACGAAACTATATATGGGAGCTATATCCAAATCTGAACCGATTTTTCCCAATTTCAATAGGGTTCGTCCTTGGGCCAAACAAATGAGCTGTGCCAATTTTCATCCAATTCGGATCATAAATGCGACCTGTGCTTTGCTCACAAAAATACATGGACAGACGGACGGACGGACGGACGGACATGCTTAAATCGACTTAAAAAGTGATTTTATGCATATTCTCAAAAGGAACCATGGGTCTATCTCGTTTCCTTTTGCCTGTTACAAACATATGCACAAAGACATAATACCCTGTACCACAGTGTGGTGAAGGGTATAAAAATGTTCTTTGTTGTTGTTGTTCTTTCAACTTCAAAATTTAATTTATTTTCTTTTAATTACAAAGTCGTTTTCTTGGTTTTTTACATTTTTATTGATATAAAGTTTAAATAACAAAAAATAGTAATTTCATATTTGCCAAGCTTACAAATATCCCCCATATAATAGTACTTCACCTTTTTGGGTGATGATGGGGACTTGAGCACGTAAAAGTAACCGTCTCTAATTTGGTATATACATGGGCAATATTACCAATTTCGTAATATTCCATTTAAACAAAAATTCGGCTATTTTGTTTTCGTGGTACATCAATGATTTTTGATATAGACAAAAATGTTCTGACTCCGAAACCGTTGGCGATCAAATTTTTGGTTGATGCGCCCAAAAGTTATCGAGGTTTTAAATTTGGGCATATGAAAAAAAATATCATAAAATTACACGGTTTATTATATTGACCAAAAACGTTGATATATATCTTCCTTCGTAAAATAAAAATATGAATATATTATAATAATCGCGAAAAAGTTGCACATCTTCGTGAAATATGAGAAAAATAATAAAAATATAGGAAATACGTCAACATTTTCATTATTAATTAATTTAAATTAATTTAAAAATATCTACATAATCTAAACACCACGATAAATCAACAAAAAGAGATATTTTTTAATTTTATACAAGAAATTTCAGAAAAAAATTTTGGGATTATTCTTCTATTTTACCCGATTCCGATATAAAAATAATCACTTTTTGTGTATAAGTATACACCTTGCAGATTGTAGCAAGACCCTTCCGTTAAATCTTGGGGTTCTATAAGTAGGAATAGAAAAACTATATTATGAAATATACATTTTAAATTGCGTCTAAATCGCGTAATTCTCAAAATCATTTGATGCGTATGCGGTTTCCAGGAACTACTGAAGTTTATCTTCCAATCCACGTATATTTTGGGAAATTTCGTTTGACGTACTACATGTTGCATTGAAGTACCCAAAAACTGGTAAAACGCGAATAATTTCTGAAAACTCATATGCTATTAACGCGCATCCGATTTCGGTGTCCACCCTAAGAAAATACATTGATCCATACCTATTTCAATGCGGTCCATTATGAACCATAGATGACCCAGCTCACTATTTTTGAGATAAATTGAGTACATCTCTCTTTCGGCTGAAGTTTTTAAAGTTCTTTTTTTCGCAAAAGTTCAAAATCCATATCAGGTAATTTATTGAAGCGAAAATGATCCACAGAAAATGCAATTATCCGCGATATTTTCAAAAAATTTCCGCCGTTCTAGTAGATGGATTTTCACGAAGAAGATTTTATATCATCCGAAACGTAAAAAACCTTACTGATCGCGGCCCGAAAAATATGTTTTTTAGAAAATTGATCGCTCTGAAGCTGTGAATATTACATACACAAAATATATATCAAATTACTCAGATTGACGACTACAATAATCTTATAATCGGTTTTTAGAAATTCCTGTTTGCGTATTGAAGCTAGAAGTAAAATAAAAAAACTCAAAATCTAGCTTCAAAACTGTTCACTTTTTCCAAATACTTAAGTAATTCTCGAGTTATAAAGGGGTAAACCTCGGCTTCAGCTACGTTAAAAAATTGGCAATATTACTTACTTACTTAGCTGGCTTGTGACGGAACTTTCGTTCCATAAGCAGAGCTTAAAAAAGATTTCCAGGCGCGTCGGTCTTTTGCGCAGTTTTTCCAATTTGAAAGACCATTTTCGCAATGTTATCTTTCACTTGATCTTTCCATTTTATTCGTGGCCTTCCCCTTCTGCGTGAACCATTACCTGGTTCGCTTTTATATGCCTCCTGGCTGGGGCATCTTCATCCATTCTCACAACATGACCTAGTAGTCATGCAGCTCAATAATCAAACAATGTCGATGCCCGAGAATAGCTGATACAACTCATGGCTCATTCGACGGCGATATTCACCATCAACGCAGATCGGCCCATAGATCTTTCGGAGAATTTTTCTCTCAAACACTCCGAGAGCTGCCTCATCTGCTTGGGCAAGTACCCATGCTTCTGATCCATATAATAGCACGGGTAGTATCAGCGTCTTGTAAAGTGTGAGTTTGGTCTGACGGGAGGTGGCCTTGTTTCTAAACTGCTTACTTAGACCAT